ATGGTTCACATTTGGGAACAAAGAACTTTTGTTAGTGACGGAGAGCCAGGGTTCCAGAGTCTGATGGGCCTGGATTCTAATTCTGGAGCCTTCACTTTCTAGCTCCATGAACTTAGATTTTTAAGGATTTTTTGGATATCACATAATTGGGCAGGATGAGGGATAATCTGGGGCAACAGGTATGGCTGAATCGAGGTTCGACCCCATACAGTAATGATGACCAATGATGGCTCCAAATTCCATTCTTTAACTGCTGTGACCCCAAAGGCCAAAGGAGATGTCATCCTTTCAGATTCTATCATCTATCCTCCTACCCTGAAGTCCCAAAGACAGACTGTGATTGGCTTAGCTTAAGTCACATGCTTAATCCTACCCCTGAGCCCACTGGATCCAAGGGATGGGATGCCCCAGTTAGATAGAGCTAGGTTACGTGTCTACTTAAGAAAGAGGGCATCTTGGGCAGTCCCAAGTAATGTTTCTTACAGTGGCTAGGAAGACTGGATCTCAAGATGAATTTAGAGCCACTGGGGAGAATATTGGAAGGAAAAGTCTGTCTTCATGAGCATCAGGGAACATGCTTTAAACAGAGACAAAAGGGGAGGAAAGAGGAGACCTTCCAGGGCCTGGAGCCACAGAAAACTTAGGAGGGACTGGGATGTAGCCAAGCAGTCCTGACACCCAGGATAAGTCATCTTGGTGCCCAAGTGGGACTGAATTGCTGTGGTTAGGAATCGCTGCTCAGCGGGTGGTAGAGATTCTGCTGTTCATGGCTGTGCAGCCAAGTAGACCTTCCAGACCACAGCCCAGTAAGCAAGCCTGCCCTCCAAGCTGGACAGTGTCTGAGAGCACAGATGTCCTTGAAAAAAGCTAGAGACTCCAGGACTCCAGTATAGGCGATGAGGAAGGCAGGTCCAACACCACCTACACTACTACAAAGGCCATTGGCAAACCTACTGTTTTGTGACTTGTCTGGAACTTTCAACTTCCTTCCTCTCAGGGGGCACACAGAAGCTCCTGGGTGTGTTTCTGTGGTTTATCAGTGAATCCTTCAACACATGGAAAGAGGAGGCAGGCCTTGTTAGGGAGACTTTAAAGAGGTTCAGAGAGACAGAGCAGAACCTGTCTTACTCCATATCCCATGGCATGGGAGAAGAGGAACCAGGAGGAAGAGTGGGTGGGGCAACTAGAAATAAGGTCTGAGTCAGTTTCTCTTGTTCTGGGGATGTGGCTTGGAAGATGGCAGTGCAGTAGAATGAAAGGGGCTCTAGGTTTGAATCCTCTACTTACTGGCTTTGTGGTTTTTGGCAAGTTACTTTTTAAAAAAACTTTTTATTGTGATTTGAGTGAAAGTTTACAGAGCAAATTCATTTTCCATTCAACAGTTCATATTTTTTCATGACATTGATTGCAATCCCCACAATGTAACAGCTCTGTTTCTACTCCTACCCTGTGGTTAACTTTTCCCTGTGTCCTTCTTTCCTATGTAATCCTGCCTCTTGTAGTTTCTTCCTGCACAAATACTGCCCGTCTGATCTCCCATGGTTGATTATTCCACCTAGTGTAATTATTCACCTCGTAGGTCTATTGTTCAGCTGAGAGTTAAGCCACAGGAGTGAGTTCAATTCCAGGCCTGAAGGGTGACTAGGGGCCCTAGTCCTGGAAATTTTACCAGTCTCTATCAGACTAGTAAACCTGGTCTTTTTTTTTCACTTTGAGTTTTATTTCCCATTTTTCTCTCACTCTATCTAGGATTTCCTATTTTGATCCCTTTCTGAGTGGTTGGCAGTGGTAGCCAGGAATCATCTAGTTCTGGCCTCAGGGTCGCGTAGGCTGAGGTTCCCATTGTCCAATAGTCCCCTTGAACTAATTGTTTCCATACATCTTTTCTTTTTTCACTATTCTTTGCCCTGGATGATGGCTGTTTGCCAGCTTTTAAGACCCCAGTTACTACTTACCAAAGTAGGATATAGAACAATGTTTTTGTGTACTATGTTATACCAATTGGGTCTGATGTCCCCTGTGACCACAGTCCCAAGCCCACAGGCCCATGACTCACTCCGTCAAGGTGTTTGGTTGTGGCTAAGAAGTTATCGTAATTTTGCCCTGTTTGCTTTATGGACACTTTTATAGCACATACAAATATGTGTATAGAAATACGTATATGTTTGCCAAACCTATATACAGTCATGGGTATATTCCCATTCACCTATCCATACCTGACCCTCTTGTCTGTCTACTTATGTACCCACCCACAGATTCATGTTCGTTATTACTGACAGTGCAGTACTGTGTATGGAATAGCATTTACCTTTGTTGTCTGTACCTCTTGTGCACCTCTCCTTGTCTTCCTTTACCTTAGTGATATTGTGTTGGTCACCTGCTTTTGCTACATTTGGCAAGTTATTTTTGCTTTAAGCCTTGGATTTTCTACCTGTAAACAGTGGATAATTATGTCCATCTTATGGGTTACCTTGAGCATTGAATGAGGTCATGGTCACCACTTACAACCCCAGCTGGACCAATCATTTTTGAATAAAGCAAGTTCAGATTTGCATATTGCAACATTCATTTCCATCATTGTTTTGTGTATACATAGTTCAGTTCAGTCTCTGTATGTTTCTTTCCCCACAGGCCAGGGCACTGCTAAGAATGGTCTGTTCACAATCTACCCTCAAATCTAGGGCCAGAAAGTCTTTTAAGCACAATGACAATCTGAAAAGGCCAGGCAGTCACGTGAGCATTTTGCAGGGAGTTGCAAAAGCATGAGACAGAGAAAGCAAAATAATTAAACCTGAAGGGTGAATGGTCTAAGCACCTTTGAAGAGAGGTGCACTCTATGGAATATGAAAATGATGAGAATCTGCAGTGGTCTTACTCTCACAGCCAAGATTACCTACAGTGCCAAGGCTTTTATGCCAATGTATCTGGTTTATTTTGGAAGCAGATGTCTTCTAGAATATTTTTATTGTGTGGATTTTAAAAATCATTGTAATGAAAGAGGACAATGCTATTTATAACCACAACTGCCAAGGAGCTTGGGTCTTGTTCCATAAACAGACTTTCTATTCAGCTTAGCGCCTTAGTGAGGGTGGACAGGCAAAAGCGGAGCTGGAGAATTTGAGTATGGAAGCTGGTAGAATGGCTGCACAGATAAAAACTAAATGTGGGCCTTCTACTGGCAAGCTGGAGGCAGGGCTGAGGATGGGAGATGAGACAGTCTGATGATGGTAAGAGGCACAGTTGTATATGGTGTGTTGCAGCTAGGGAAACATCCCCATTGGAATGGTGGACTTTTAAAAACCAGGTGATCTAAATGCATAGGACAGGATGACACAGGGAAAAGGTAACTACAGGGAGGAAGTGGGAAGAGAGCTGTTACATTGTGGGAATTGCAATCTATGTCATGAAACAAAATGTGTATGAATTGTTTGTTGACTACAAAATGAAGTTACTCTGTATACTTGAGCCCAAATCACAATTTAAAAAAAAGAAAGAAAAAGCCAGGTGATCTAATAGTCAATATGAAGCTGTTTGCAGATTCACAGCAAGTCCCCATCCATCCCTTGATCCTGATTGAAGCCTGCTGCATGCAAAGTTTTGTGTGAATGGGATATTTGGGAATATTTGGAGGGACTGAACCCATCAGAACGGATGTGAGGTGGGGTGGGGCCAGGAAGGGTAGAATGGAGCCATGAATCCACAGAATGAACTAAGTCAGAGCCACAGGTGAGCACAAAGCTGTAAATCCTCAACACTTACTGCCCTCTCCCCCTTTCCAGGGAATTACAGAACTCTCAAGAAAGACGCTGGACTTCCCTGAGGTTCAGGCCATCTTCTCTAGATCTTAAAGGATAGAGGCACCCTAGCTGCTATCTGGATCACATCTAAATAACACCCATTTCCTCCTTGATCTTGCAAATCGCTATTTTGCTAACCCTTCAACTTTTCAGAAATGTGAATACAGCTTGCCGAGGGTTGCTGCTTGTAAGGAGCCCTGGATGGTACAAACGGTTAGGCATTGACTGCTAGCTGAAAGGTTGGCAGTTCAAACCCATCCAGAGGCACCTTGAAAGCTAGACCTGGGATCTGCTTCTGAAAGGTCATAGCCTTGAAAACCCTAGGGAGCAGTTCTTTTCTGTACACATGGGAGAGCTATGGTTGGAATCACTCAATGGCAGTTAACAGTTCGTAAGGCAGTAGATAGCAGTGGTTAAGAGCAGGGATTCTAGAGTCAAATAGCTTGGGTTTGGATCTTGGCTCTGCAACTTATTAACTGTGTGACTTTGGACAAGTTATTTCACCTTTCTGAGCTTCAGTTTTTCATCTGTAAAACGAGGATGGTAATATAAATACGTATGAAGGAAGATTAGGCAATCTACTTCTGTAGTGATACCACCTCAGAAACCCAAGGAGGGGTCACTATGAGTCAGATCTGACTCGACAGCAGTGCATTGCGTTTTGCATTCACTTCATAGGGCTTCTGGGAGAACCAAATACATTACTGCATATAAAGTGCGTAGAACAAGTCACAGAGAGCTCATCATCAGTCATGACCTGATCCCTGCGTCAGTGGCTGGCACATGGTAGAAACTCAATTTTCAGTAATGAACCCATTTGTGGCTTTCCTGACTTTACTCTAACCCACCCAGGATCCTGTGTCTTGGCTTCAGGAGAGGTAGAGGCCCTTACTCAGCCTTCCTCAAGTACCCTCTGCCGTTCTGGTTTTCTAGAACATAAAAGAACCAGGTAGGCCCCATGTGGCAGTAGCACTGGTGGGGAGTAGGGATGGTTCAGTTCAGCCCATCCCCTCTTCTGGAATTAAACACATGCCAACTACTAAGTAGGAGAGTGGTATTGTCCTCTCAGAGGGAGGGCAGTATTTTATTTAATAGGCTTTATGCAATAGGAAAACCGAAGCTGCTTTTCAGGTGGTAGGGGCAGAAGTACCCCTGACTTTGGGGGAGGCTCTTGCGACTGGTAGGCCATGCCACAGGGATTCCTCAGCTCCCTGCCTTTGGCTCGGACGCTTTCTCTTCTGAGTTTTGGCTTGAGTGCATGCGGAGGACTTGTGCTGTTCCAATGTGCTCTGGGTATAGGGGAGAGACAGCAGGCAGGAGAGGAGGAGAAGAAGGACCAGGCCCTAGCTGGGAGCTTCCCTGGGGGCCAGAAGACCCCCTTCTCCCTGCAAGGCTATCACAGATGTGTAAGAACAGAGGCCTGGTTTAAGCTCAGCTTCTGCTTTCAGTTCTGCTGGTGACCTGGGACGAGCTACTTCCCTTCTCCTAGCCTCACCACTACCCTCTCTCAGCAGCCAGGTAACAAACATCAATTAAGTGCCTACTCTCTGCCAGACACTGACTCACACACAGGATCTCGGGCTTCCCACAGGGCCCTTACAGTGTAGCACAGGGCAGGGCATCAGGTACATCTTGGATATCTATCCACTGCCTCCTTCTGGCTAGTTCCTGGGTGGTGCAAATGGTTAAGTGCTCAGCGACCAGCCACAATGTTGCTATTTGAACCCACCCAAGGGTGCCATGAAGATAGGTCTGGTCATCTGCTTCTGATAGGTCACAGCCTTGAAAACCCTATGAAGCACACATGGATCTGTACATGTGGCATCACCATGAGTCAGAATCTGCTCAAAAGCAACTAACTCCAACTCTCTTCTCCAATATAAGCCCCTACTCTCCCAGGCTGTGGGCTACAGGTATCACCTCCTTCCTGTTTCCCACCTCCACAGTCCATTCTCCACACCGTAGCCAGAGGGGTGGTTTTAGAAAGGTCCCCAGTTCATTCTACCACCCTGTTTATAATCCACCAGGGCATCCCACCACAAAGAGCCACAGGACCCCTCCTCTGAGAGCCATAGGCGTTGCATTGCCCACCAGGCCTATGAGAACCACTACTGCGGCCCAGCTCAGTTCTTATGACTTTCCTGTCGTAAGGCCTGGCACCCTGGCCCACTTGCTCATCTACAAACACTCCAGGCTTGTGTGAGCTCTGCTTGCAGGAGCCCCCAGATCTAGATGTAGCCGGATCCTTTCCAGTCCTTCAGCTTCAGGAGCCCACTCCCTGTTCTGCAGTCCCTCTTACTATCCACCACATCACCCTGCTTTATTTTCCTTCTAGCTTCTATTGCTCTTAGAAGTTGTTCTCATGTGTTGTCAGCACCCCTCCTCACTGGAAAGCAAGCTCCAGGAGACAGGAACTTGTCTGAATACTTCCCCAATGATTTCCAGAGCCCAGCACATAGTAGGTGCTAAACAAGTATTTGTTGAATGGATGAATAAATGAACAGATGAATGAATAAACAGACATGAACAACCCATCTCCAAGGTGCCTTAAGTGCCCTGAGGAATCTAGCCAGGAGAGGCCTCTGGGAGTCCCTATATGGCCCACTGTATGGAATCTTACCTGGCTTTTCGCTCTTCAGTACAGGTGGTATCTTCGTCTTCTTCGGGGATTGACTAAAACCAAATACAAAGGAGAGGCTGGGGAGATGAGGCTGGAACCCACTAGGCACAGCACCAGATGAGGAAGGGGATGCAGTCAGCAGTCTGTTCCAGGGAGAGGCAAGTGGGGCCCCTCCTAGAGAACCCCAAAGCATCTGTCCATGGCTGACACCAGGTGGACTTCCTGTCTCACCCCAAGGAGGACTCAGGCAACTTTGACTCCATTGCTTGCCACTGCTACAGGGAACTAAGGCCTTGCAAATCCCTCGAGATGTAAAGGGAGGCCCTGTGCTCAGCAGAGCCTGCTGTATCAGAAGCTCTAGGAATCTACATTTAAACAAGCTCCCAGAGTCACCCTGAGCCTTGCTGGGTTTGGGGACAATAGCTTTAGAGTTAGACAGGCCTGACTCTAAAAGAATCCCAGTTCTTTTGCTGACCAGCTGGGTGATCTTGGGCAGGTCAATTTTCTCATCTGTAAAACTGCGGCTATACTGCTTCAGTGGGTTATTGTGTGGACTAGAAAGATGTAAAATTACCAATGGAGCCCAGCAAGCACAGTGGAAGCTCCATATTGTGAGTTATCTTGTTGATACTTGGCTCCTACTCCTCTGCTCTGTGAGGAGTTCCCCCAATTTGTAATCTCTTTCTCCTCTGGCCATCTAACACCCACAGAGAGGAACTTCTGCCTGCCCTGTGTTGGCATTAGTTTTCTATCTGTATCTTGGCACAAACCAAGAACTTCTGGAGGGCTAAACACATCTTATCCAGCCCTGTGTTGCTACCATGGACTTTGGTGACCAACTCAGGCCTCCTTCTAAGCTTGCAGCTCTGAGTCTGGTCTGGCCCAGTAGGTCTTCCAGCAATGAGGTACGATTAGAGCCACCACCAGGTTTCCTTCTCTAAGTCCCAGCGGCCTCACCTGGCAGTGGCTCTGGGGCCAGAAGGGCAGGTGAGGGGGTGAAGCCCACCTGTAGTGTGGCTGTTGCTTCTCCTGAGATGGATTTTGAACTTCTTGAAGTTGGTTCAGAAGTTTTTCTGCTGGAATGGAGACTAGGGGTTGAGGAAGAAGCTGGGCCACAGCTGTCTGCAGGAGCCCCAGTGCCAAGTCCTTCTCTGTAAGCACAGCCCCAGGCAGAACCTTCAGGGCAGGGCCATGAGAGATCCCCCCCAGCCCCTGGATGGGGCAGAGAGCAGGGTTTCCGGCACTTTTGCCCAACATTATTCAAGGGCAGCTTTCTCTAACCCTCTCACATTCTGCCTAAAGGTCCCCACTTCTCTCCTTGCCCCTGTGTAGGCAGAGCCCTCTCTGCCCCTCCACACCCCTCTCTCAGCACACAATCATATGTGTACCTTGTTCTTGTGCCGCTCTGGCCTTCCTGGACAGCCACCTAACCCTCTCTGGGAAACCATCAAGCCTCCTCCTTCACTCTCTGGAAGCCTTCTCCAACGAGCTTCCCTCACTCTCATCCTAGTTACTCTTCCACCACTGTCTCCTGTGTGCTGTATGTGTGTTCTTGTGTCCACATGCATGTACGTGTGTGTTCTTAGATGTATGCATATGCATCAGTGTGTCCCACAGTGGTGTTGTGAGAGGCTGTGTCTGCAAAATACGGCCCTTAGATTTCTCCCTCCCATCGGTTGATCCCTAAGTGGGACCAACATGAAGAAAGGGTCACTTCAAAGGAAAGGGCTCATGGAAACCCTGAGGAGGAACTGGGGAGGAGGAAGCAGTGCCATTGGCAGCTGGGAAGGGTTAGTTTGGGCTCCACACAAGAAGAGGCCCAAACACCCTGTGGTGGGTGTCCAGTGACATCAGAATCCAGCAGAACCAGAGAGAAGGATGAGACCTCAGTAGCTGTCCCTCAGAGATGGGCCCCAGGACTGTGTCCTCACCCTTTGGGGGAGCAGAGAGTAGCCAGAACTGGATGGCACTCAGCGAATCTGTTTGCAAGATTTGGCAGAGGAGCTCCAAGATCTGTGGGCAGAAGGAAGGTGTGGTCATCAGGCTGGTTAGCAGGTGAAGCAGCCTTCAGAGGGCACAAGGGCCCATCCCCCACAACAGGTTCCCTACAAAACTTCTTGCCTCCCATCTGCAAGGGACTTGGCCCTTCATAGAGGACTGTCTCTCCCAACAGCCCTGGAGGAAAAGAATTGACCTCCCACTGAACAGATGAGGATCAGAGGCCTCAAGAAAGGACATGAAGCAGGGAGCTTGTGACAGATCAAGGCCTCAGAAGCCAAGTATATGAACCCTTCACCCTTTCAGGACTCTCCCTGGGATCCCTCACTGGGAAGACAAAGTCAAACCTGGCCAGGCAGCCCCTCAGAGACGCACCGAATCCCAAATGCCCTGGTCCTTGGTGAGGGGATTTCAGGAATCCCATAAGTCTCCCCACCCTGAAGCTCCCCAAGTCTGGAAGTGTTGGCAAAGAGGTGGGGTGGTCCCAGTGGGTAGCCTGATGGTCAAGGCTGGCTGGCTCTGTACATGGCTTGAGTGGGGGTGTCTTCTTGCAGATCGGTGTGTACACTTGGCTTCCAGCCCCCTTCTTAGCCTTTGGCATCTTTGCTACTTCAGGACCCATTTTCCCCCAAGGTCGCCAGTCCAGGGTCATCGGGAATAGATCCAGCTCTGTCTTGGGTGGGCTATGGGGGCTCCCTAGGCCAGGTTGCTGATGGTGGCAGTGTCTATGGCCAGCTGAAGTTGGGGGCCTTGGTGAGAGGTGGAGCCTCTGGAGTCCTAGGAGAGTGGGGTCCTCTCAGAGCTTGGCAGCCAGTCTACCCAGGACCCATAGAGGCCTGCTGTCCCCAGAAAGTCTGCCTTGTCCTTGGCAGATTGGGAAATGAGCAAGGCCTATCCCCAGGCCTATGTCTGTTGAGTCTCCATCCTTACCATCAGGTACCCACCCACTGCAGTTACCCACCCTGTTCTGCCCCTGGGCCCTTCTCCATTCTCTGCATCCAACTTACCTGCCCTGTGCCCCCTCCCCACAGGACCCGAGAACCTAATTCCAGACAAGGTGAGGCCGCCCTATGGTGAAGAAAGTACTATGTTCTAGTCCCAGTTATGTTGCTCTCTCTTTCTGGGAGACCTCGGCCAAAGAACATTATCTGGCAGGGCCTCAGCCTCCCCATTGTGGCATGGGGATTCCAGGCCCTGCCTGCTGTATCCACTTCACTGGCCAATTTTCAGTCTCCAATGCCTGGAAACATTGCACAAGGAAGGTATGGAGATGCTGGCTCCATGTCTGAGCTTTCCTAGAGAACATGTGTGCATTTTAACAGGGACTTTTGATGCCTTGACTTGTGGGAATGAGCAATGGATTCATTTCAGGGCTTAATGGGGGAACTTGAACATGGAGGATGTGGGCTTTGTGCTCTACCTAAGCATAGGCCAGTCCCCAGAGACTATGGGAAGTCAAGGCTGGGACTAGCCTTGCAGCACTGTAGGGTGCAACATACTATTGGGAAAGCAGACTAGGCAGGACCTTCAATGCCAATGCCTCCTATGCCTTCCTATCATCAAGGAAAAGACCTTGATGATAATGTGTTTCAGTTTGTATAGGGCAAGAAGCTAAGGCCCAGAGAGGGGAAAGGCACAGGAAGGAAAAGGATAACATAGAAACCCGGAGATAGCAGGAGATTGGAGCCCAGCTCCTGACTCCTAAATCTGAGGTTTGGGAGTCTTAAAAGACCTTAGGTGAAAATCTCCCTAGGAGAGGCCATACCTTCAAGCAGTTTGTAGGAGTCCTAGGTGGGAGAGCTGGAAGCAGGAACCACCCTAGTCTCCCGTGAGCCCCCCGTCTCCGGCCTTCCCTGTGTCTCACCAGCAGCTCCTGGTCCTGTAGAATGAAGGTGCGGACTCCTCCATTGCGGCCTGAAGGGTGGCTGTGTTGGCCGTGGTGGGAATTGCGGTGGGCAGTGGCACGGGTGGAAGCTGGAATGAGCCTCCCAGTCTCAGCTGAGTACTTTGCCCCCTGCTCTCTTTGTGGCTCCTCCTTTTGCTAGAAGTGAGCAGAAATTCCAGGCATTGAGAGATGGGGAGGGAAAGCAGGGGAAGAGAATGCATCCAGATCCCATCTCTAGGGTGCCCTGCTGACTCTCCTTCCACAGTAACACTCTCCTTCCTTTTTGGACACAGCATCATAGTGTTGCCAGGGACCCAAGTCATCATCAGTGTCGCTGACCCTCTTCCAGTGGAAAGCATTCTACTATAACCAATTACCATCAAGTCAATTTCAACTCATGGTAACTCCACATGTGTTAAAGTACAACCGTGCTCTATAGGTTTTCAAGGGCTGACATTCCATTGAAGTAGTTTGCCAGGCCTTTCTTCCAAGGCATCTCTAAGTGGACTAGCCAACCTCTCAGTTGGCAGCCAAGTGCACTAACCATTTGTACCTCCTGGCCATTATAAAAAAGCTATTGAGTCAATTCTGACTAATAGTGAGTCTATAGGACAGAATAGAACTGCCCCATAGGATTTTCCAGGTTATAATCTTTACAGAAGCAGATGGCCACATCTTTCTTCCATGGAGGAACTGATGGGTTCAAACCACTGACCTTTCAGTTAACAGCCAAGTGCTTAACCACGCCACTTCTTTCTGTTATAACCCACTGCCATCAAGTTGATTCCAACTCATAGAGACCCTATAGGACAGAGTAGAACAGCCTCATAGGGTTTCAAAGGCTGTAAATCTTTATGGAAGCAGACTGCCTCATCTCTCTCCTGTGGAGTGGCTAGTAGGTTCAAACCACTGACTTTCTGGTTAGCAGCTGAATGCCTTAACCATTGTTAAGCCACCAGACCTCCTTTACCTTCCCTTATGTAGTTGTTGTTATATGTCGTTGAGTCAGACCCGACTCATAGTGATCCCTCGTTGGGTTTCTGAGGCAGTATCACTATGGAAGTAGATTGCCCAACCTTCCTTCCAAGGAAAGCTTAAACTAGCAAAAGTGTTTCTCATTAGAAGTTTGAAAGCTGGACGCCCCCTGGGGGTCCTTCTTCCTCCTGGGCAGGTCCTCTCTGCTACTCCTCTTCCCAGCCCACTTGAGATTTGAAAACAGTACCCAGTGCTAAAGCTCCCACTGCCTACCTTAATTTCTAGCTTAGTTGCCCCAGCGTGGCATCCTTTCTTTGCTCTGGGAAACCCTCCCTCAGCCAGGTGTCTAGGCACAAGGTCTGGGGGCTCCTGCCTCTCTAATTCCAATCAACAGTAGTATTATCCATGTCTCCACTTTAAAGATATGAAAACTGAAACCCAAACAGCTTAGCTGATTGGCCCTGATCCCTCAGTTTGTCAACCACAGAGCAGGGACAGGAGCCAGGCCTCCAGGTCTCCATTCTGGCTGCTGAAGACAAGCAAGGGACAGGACTAGACCCAAAGGGCCAGGCCTGTCCTAAGACTGCATCTAACCACCTTCAAACCGCCTTCTAATTATCTTCATGTTTTATCACCAAATAACACTCATAAGGGCATCCCCACCATGTTTGAAAACCTTCAACTATTCTCCACGCCTTATGAGATTAGAGTAAACTGAGCTCAGAATTTAAGAGCAGACTCCTCTTCCCCACATTTAAAGTCAGGCCCCTTTGCCGTCTTATCTCCCATTGCTGCCCCCTCATAGCCTGCCCTCCACCTCCTCTACCCCTGGCAATAAAGACATCCTACTTTTGCCAGCTTCTGTGCTTTTGTGCCAGTTGCCCCCACCCAGAATGCTCCCCAGTCCATTTGTAAACATCCACTTATATTTGAGGACCCCCTCAATGCCACTTCTTTTATGAATGTTTCTAGAGTCCCAACAATTAGGCACATTCTCTCCCTCCTTTGACCCTTCACTGTGACTCTCCTCCCTCGCATTTGTGCCCAGAGCCTCCATCAGCTGGGTTGAACCTACTCTGGACATATTGCATTACAGAGGGATGGATCCATTTCACCTCATCCTGGATGAATGCAATTGTTCTGCACCCACCTCATTGTTCTTCTTTTCATTCTCCTTGGTGAAGATGGCCACCCGGGAAGCCAGGTCCTTTAACTCCTTCTTCCAGCTCTCTGGGAACAGAGGACAAGATGCTGCCAACTGCTATCTGGGGCCCCTCCTACGTACCCACCTGGTGGCACCGGGTGATGGAAAGGATGTAAGAGTGGTAGGTAGAGGAGCCTCCTCTCCTTCCCAGCCTTCCCGCCCCATATCTTAAAGGGAAAGGAGCATGCAATGCCCTTTAGGGAAGACGATTAGGAATTGGAAGATGTATGTTTGTGTGCAGTTGTTACAAGAGAGGCTGATTTTGAAGTCTTAGCCTGTGGTGTTACTGGGAGATGCTGGAGAGCGTTTGGCTATGTATGCCAAGATGTGTGTGTGATTTAGACTAGTTTTGCCTCTTTTGGGTACCTGCAGCCAGGACTGAGATTCAACAAATATGGCTGGGCCCATTATTAAAACATTGAACTTCTTTCCCAGTGGGTTGGTAAAGAGCCATTGCCTCATGTTTTATAAATCTCTCTGTTTGGCCCACATTGGTTGTGCCAGCTCCACCTCAGAATCATCACCCCTTGGGGTGACTTTCTTACACCCCACTATATGAAAGGGCAAGGCCTGGCAGAGGAGAAGCCTCCAAAATGCTGCTCCAGCACTATGCCTGATTGCTGTATTTGGCCAGAGCCTAAGTGTTCAGGTTACTAATATTTCCGATAACTTTTGTGTCTATAGCTGTAGGACATATGACTATTGCCAAAATCTGCTTATAACAGAAGTACAAGCAGTGGTGCATTTCTGAAGGCCAGGACCTGTGGAGTGGGGTATAATGCAGAGATGCTTCTGCCCAAGGAGATGAAGAGAAGAGTTGGATCCCCCACTGGACCCCACAGACCTAAGAGCAATGACCCTCTCCTCCTCAGGCACCTGCCCACAGGGAGCAGCCCTTGGGGAGTGATGTGAGCCCCAAGGGAAGAGTGTGTGCCCCAAGTACCCACCGGAAGAAAGCCAAGGGTCTCGATTGGACTGTGGGTCTCCAGTGGGAACAGAGGTGGCTGGTATCCCCATCATACAGTGAGGTAAGAACACTGCCGGAGGCAAGGGGGCTGGAGAGAACTCGTCCCGGACGACACAGACAGGCTTCCCAGTGAGATCTGCAAAGGTTTAGATGCTGTGGGATGGAGGCCTGGGAGGACTCCTGGAGCTCTGGGAGGCGAGAAGAAGGCCAGTGGGCAGAGAGAACACTGGCCCCACTTCCTCCAGTAACCATGAATCATAGATCATTAGAGCTGGGAGCATAGTAGCTTATCCTACCCATGGGAACACTTAGCATGGATAGGGGAAGAGATTGCTCAGGGTCATGCAGCCTTTCAGGCAGGGGTGAGATAAGAACCCAGGCTTCCTGGGACCCTAGTCCAAGGATCCTTCTGGCTTCCTATAGCAGTGCAAAGAACTCAAAGAACTGCTGGTTGGAGCACCCAGGGGTAGGCCATTAAACATGAGAACATTGAGGCAGGGGTATGAAGTCACACAGTCAGTGAAGGGAGGCGCATAGGCACAAATCACAGGAAGCCAGCCAGCTCTAGCTAGATCCTCTGTTGCTCTGGGCAAGGCTGAGTGAAGGCTGCCTGAGGAGGTGGTGAGGCAGATATAATTGTGAGGACCCTTGTGGTCTAAGGACTGAGTGATTCCTACATGATGATTAGACTTTGACCACCAGCATGGTTAGGACTTTGCATGGTTCCTCACACTCTCCTTCCCAAAGAACTTTCTTTGTGCTCCCAGGACACCCCACTCTTCTGTTTCTTCCTACTTCATCTCACCATTGGGGTACCCAGGGCTCAGTCCATGGGCTCTCTGCTCTCCTTTATCTACGTGGACTCTGGGATGGTCTTATCCAACATGCCACTCAAAACACCATCTTCAATGACTTGCATGCATCTCTCTCTTGACTCCAGATCTAACTGCCTACTGTACACCTCCATCTAGCTGTATCTCACATTTCACATCCCACATGTCCAAGATCCAGTTCCTGATTTCTCTCCTCTTCATTGCCCCCCACCCTCCATTTGTTTGTCAGTAAATATAACTCAAGTTTTCCAATTGCTCAGCCCAGAAACAACTCCGCATCTGCAATCAATTGGAAAACCTGTTGCTTTACCTTCTCTTTATCTCCAGAATAGGACCACTAAATAACTCTTATACCAGTCCCCTCCTGATCCAAGTCACCATCAAAACAGAGGCCAGGGTGATCTTGTTAAAATACGTCACTTCTTTGCTCTCAATCCTTCAGTGGCTTCTACCTGACCCAGCAAGATGTCTTAACGATGACTACAGTGGTCTACATGGGCCACGTGACCATCTCCTTTCTCTCCTCTTATTTATTCTGCCCCAGTCATGCTATTCCTCAGCCAGAGCCAGTGCTCTCCTGCTTTAAGGCCTTTGTACTTTCTATTCCCTCTGTCTGGAACATTCTTTCTCTTGATGCCCACATAGTTCAGCCCTCCCTTCCTTTTATTCTTTGCTCAAATATCATGTTATTGGGAGGGCTTCCCTGAGTACCTCTTAAAAATAGCAACCTCCCCTCCTCAGGCTTGGCACTTAGGCACTCTGACACCTGCTCTATTTCCTGACCTTCCCCACTAAAATCAGCTCCACAAGGGCAGGGACTAGGTTTTGTTCACCATTGTATCCCCAGAACCAAGAAAGTGAACCCATAGTTCATAATCAGTAAATATTTGATGGATGAATGGCTAAGTGGATGAAGTAGCTTGATTTAGAGAGCAGAGACCAGTTCTGGAGCAGATTTTCATCAATTTCTCTGATTTATAAAATGGGGAGAATGCTGCAAGGTGCCTAAGCCCTGTCCTTGGTGCCTGTGCCTCTTGCCTGCCTCTCTGAGGAGGAGCCTGGACTGGCAACCAGCAACACTGGCTTTGAGTCAAACTCAGCCACTTGACAGCTTTGTGATCGAGGCCAAGCTCCCATCCTCCCTGGGGCCTTGGAAACAGGGGCTGGAGCAAATACTCCCTTTCCAGTTCTCAGGCCAGTTAGTAAGCCCCACCACCAGCAGCAGCCTGGTGCCCTGGCCCTACCTTGGATGTGAGTCACGCGCTGAGGGTGGGGGTGGTGCCTGGAGAAGAAGGAGTGGTGGCTGAGGCGGCCAAAACGGTAGGCACCAGGGGTTTGGGGCTTGGGGGTCCTCACTGCCTCTTGAGTCAGCTCAAAATCCACGATGCCTGGGATCACCAGCTCTTTCTGTGGCCCACCGTCACCGTGACTCCTTGGCCTGGGCCCTGATTTCTTCTCAGTCTTCAGCTCAGCCTTTGGACTGAAGGACAGGATCAAAGAGAAGTGAACAGAACTCAGAGCTTATTACAGAGTCCATTCCTGAGACACTCTTAAATTTGGTTTCCAGGATTTCACGAAACCCCCATGGTACCCAAAGCTCCCCCAGAATCTCTTCCCAATTTGTGTATTGCAGTCCCAGTGACCCTTCTATCCTCCTAAGATGCTTTAGCAAGGGGCTGAGAAAACTCAGAGGGAATCTCCCAAGGCCCCCGTTTTCTCCCAAGACCATCTCTAAAGCCAGAAAGAGAAGCCACAGACCCACCTACTCATCCAAATATCTGGGGTTGGAGCAAAGGCATCTTATATATACCCCAGGGGCAAGGAGCTGACTCCAACAAGGGTCTCTCCCCAAGCCAAGCTGTTGGCGGCCCAGCAGAAGCCAACTATGGGCTGTGACCCTCCCCCTTGCCCTCAGGGGCAGTCTTGGCCTAGACTCAGCATCCAAGAGTCAAAGCTGGAGCCAAGGCCAGACCATACAAGCAACTCCTTTTCCCATGGGAGCCCCTTCCAGAAGATGCAGCATTGAGGGCGGCAGCTGTCAGGGCGGAGACACTACAGGGAAGCTTCAAGCTCTCGCTTCACTGGTGAGAAGCCATCTCAGGTTCCCTGTCCTCCACCCCTGGTGGAAGAGGTAAGTCAAGCAAGGATGCAAAGAAGGGGTCACTCCCTGCCCAGAGTCTGATGGTACCACATGCCTGCTTGTTGTCTGCACTCCCTTCTCCTTGTGGCCCCAGTTGAAGGGAGGCCCTCTGGAGGAGAATAAGTGGGCTCTGGATATGCTAAGCAAGGTGTGCTGCCCCAGGACCCTCTGAGGACTTCGCTGACCAGGCCCCTGGGTTTTCTGTTTCGTTCTTGATTTGCTGCTAAGGGACCTGAGACTTAAAGAAAAAAAGTAAACCTTCTCTGAAAGTCACATTTAGTGTTCTGTTCTACCCACAGCTAACAGAGGAAATCACCCTGAGAAACCCTGGAATTCCTGTGCTCAGGACTCCTATCCCCCTGGCATCATGCCACCTCCCTACCAGTGGGAGGTCCATCTGAGCCTGAGACCGTACTGGGGCCTGGCTGATGGCAGTGGAAGGTTAAAGAGGACAGCCTCTCTTAGACCCCTAGTTTTTTGTCTTCTACTTTTGCCCTGTTGCCCACCTCTGCCACCACCACTCCTCAGTCACCCTCAGTATGGGTATTTAGGGCTTTACCTCAGCAGTGGATGTTCGGCCAATTGGCTCCTCACCTCGGTAGCCATTGTAGGATTTCTAATGGAATAAAACCCAGCACATTTAACACCATTGTTGAAGTGAATGTGGGCAGCAGGAACTCTCATAGATGTGGTGGGAGTATAAACTGAGCAGACATTTTTGGGGAAAATATTGGTAATATCTTGTAAAATTGAACATTTCCATGCTATCTCACCCAGCAATTCCTCTCCCAGGTATATACCCAAGAGAGACTCCTACCTATATGCACCAGGGGCTATTTATAAGAATATTCATGCTAATGTTGCCCAAAGTAGTAAAACCTGGTGATGACCCTGATGTCCAATGGCAGGAGAATGAATAAACTGTGCTACATTCACACCACAGAAATGAATAAACTACAGTGACATACAACTACTCAGATCAGACTTACAAATGTACTAAGTGAAGGAAAGCAAGTTCCTGAAGACTGTGTCGTATGAGATCTTTTTTTAAAAAAAGTTCTAAAGCAAGCAAAATTACTGTAAATATGTGATAAAACTGAAAAAAAAAGTGAGAGAATGCTAAATAGAAAATTCAGATAGTAGCTATTTCTGAGAAAAGGTGGGAGATGGAGTAGAAGAGGCTCTCACAAGGGTGTGTGTTGTTGGTAATACTCTGTGGCTGGGTTTGTGTGGTACAGTTATTAGTGTTCACTATTCTATTAAATTGATTAATTTAATTTAATGGATGAGAGATGATAGATGTCAAAACTAAGTATTATGATTAATCAAAATCTGTGAATCTAAAAAAAATCACATATGTATAGGGAGAGAGAGAGAGAGAGAGAGAGGTAACTTACTTTCAGAGCTGAATACATACACATACATACATAACAAAAGGCCAACAAAAGGGTTGCAGGTGCCAGGAATAGGGATGAGACAGGAAATCAGTGCATTCTGAGAATTCTCACATTACAGAAGGGCAAGGAGGGACCCTTGAGACCCCTCAGTGCCAGCTCTTCATCAGGTTAGGGCAGGATTGGTTGGTACTTCCTGAGATCAGCCAAGGGGAGAGACTTGGTGAGGTCACAGAGCAATGGACCAGAGCCGAGGCCTCCTGACTTACAGTCTCATGATCTTTTCTCTAAAGAGAAAAACAATGGGCAGGAAGCCCCAAACTCCACTGGCTAGAAAGAAAGGTACTCTTTAGAACAGAGACTTCCAAATGCTTTTGACTGGGCGCACAGTAAGAAATTCCTTTTTCCATCATGACTCAGTTCATACATGCATGTGCACACACTTGTGTGTGTGTCCAAAACCAAAACAAGAATGCCCAGAAGCAGTCCTCACCCTTATGATACATGATGCACACTGATACTTTGATCCTATTTTTTCTGTGTTCATTTTGTTAGTGTTCAACTGACCCATTAAATTGACTTTATAAGCCACTAATGGCTCACAACTCACAGCTGCTGTAGAGAGGTCAACTGAAACTCTAAGGGGCAGGACAGGTCAGGTCAGGTCCCAGTGTGGTCTGTCCCTGTTCTGCCCCTTCCTCTCCACTCCCTGGGCTTCATGTAGTCAGACACCATTGCTCTGAATGCTCGCATCAAGCCAGAGACACAGCTTCCCTCTTCCCCATCTCGGCCCCTCTGGGCCCTCCCCTGTGGCCTGGCTCTATGTCCATTTCCTCCCCGGGAGAGGTCTCTGGACTCACCGAGGAACTTGCCCACTATAGCATGTGGGGGAGAAGCCTTGCTGCCCAAGCAGGGGCAAGAGGACAAATCAGCATGAAGTCTCCTGGGTTCTGTGGGCAAGTCTGTCTGCTTTGTGATTCCATTGAGCCCAGTAGTTGCTAGGTTACTCCCTTGACAACTCCAGAACCACTCCCCAGCCCCTTTCTCTCACACCCCCACCCCTTTTCCCCCCTCCTGGCTTGCAGAGGAGCTCCTTTCTCCCTCCAAACTTCCTTTCTACCTGGCATCCAGAGTTTGCAATGAGGTCCGACAGAGAGAGCCAGAGTCTGGAGCTGGTTTCATCAGTGAGCAGCTGGCAGAGAGAAAAATTGGCAAAGTTCATTGGTCATTTTGGGTCCCTGATTTATCCCTGCCCAGCCTGACTGGGCCTGAGGGAAGGCAGCTGGTGCCTGTGGTGGGTCTGCCTATGTGGATCTTGCTTCCAGAGACTGACTTCCAGAGGGGTACTTCTTAGACGGAGAGGATGAGACTGCCCACATGACCCAGAACTATTCCTCCAGCCCCTTTTCCAGGCAGGACATCTGGGTGGGATGAGTATGGGTGTTCAGTTGGACAGTGATCTTAATCTGGATTCTGACACTTCCTAAGTGTGTCGCCTTGGGTAAGTCTCTGATACTACTAAAGATGTAGAATAGGGGCAAGAATCCTGGGTTCAATTCTCAGTTCTGTTGCTTCCTATGTGTGTGACTTCAGTAATTTACCTGATATCTCCAAGCCTCAGTTCCTGAATCTCTAAAATGGAGATGACAATAGCACTTATCCTCATAGGACTGCTGGGAAGATTAGGTGAGTTAATATACACTAAAGTGTTTAGTTGCTGCAGGACTAGGCAATGTTTCATCCTGTTATACATAAAATCACCATGAGTTGGAGCTGACTTGACAGCAACTAACAACAACAAAGTATTTAGAACAGTGCCTGGCACCAAGGACTCTCTTACTATTATTACCTTCTCTGGCCCAGTAAAATGAGGTACCCTCACCTTCTCTGGGGTTGTTGCAAAGCACAAACATGCTAAGGGAAGTGAAGCACATAGTCATATGCCTGGTACATAAGGCAGATGCTTAAAAATGATAAATTTTAATCATGATTGTTGGTAACTTGATGGAAGTAAGATTATACAGGGGGATGAGTCCTTAGTTTGAGAATACTTCACCTCTCTGAAACTCAACTTGGACATCTGTAAAATAGGGATAAAGATAATCTTCAGCCTATAGGACTAAGAGTTAGAGACTGTGAGGGCTGTAAATAGGCTCTGTACGCTATAGGACAGTTAGGAGATGGTGCATAATGCTGTTGTAAAAACAAAGTCCATGACTCTCAAAACTAATGATGACTACATCATTTAAAGTGTCTTTGTTCTCAGCACCCCTAGCTTCACTTTTGCTCAAGGCTTCTGTTGTTGTTGTTAGATGCCATCAAGTCAGCTCCAACTTACAGCGATCCTATGTACAACAGATCAAAACATTGCCTGGTCTTGCGCCATCCTCACAATCCTTGCTGTTTGAGCCCATCATCACAGTCACTGTGTCAGCTCCTCTCACTGAGGGTCATTCCTTCTTAATGACCCTCTACTTTACCAAACCTGATATCCTTCTCCAGGGAACAGTCCCTTCTGACAACCTGACCCAAGTAGGTAAGATGAAGTCTGGCCATTTTTGCTTCTAATGAGTATTCCAGCTGCACTTCTTCCAGGACAGATTTGCTTGTGCTAGCAGTTCATGGTATTTTCAGCATTCTTCACCAACACCACAACTCAAAAGCATTAACTCTTCTTTGGTCCTCCTTATTCATTGTTCAGCTTTCATATGCATATGAGGTGATTGAAAATACCATGGCTTGAGTTAGGTGCTTCTTAGTCTTCAAAGTGATATATTTGCTTCTTAACACTTAAAGAGGTCTTTTGCTGAGTACAATATGCCCAGCACAATACAATGTCTGATTTCTTGACTCTGCTTCTATGAGTGTTGATCATGGTTCCAAGTAAAATTAAATTCATTTATTGTGATGTTGCTTATTGGTCCAGTTGTGAGGATTTTTGTTTTCTTTACATTGAGGTATAATCCATATTGAAGACTGTAGTCTTTGGTTTTCATCAGTAAGTGCTTTAAGTCATATTCACTTTCAGCAAGCAAGACTGTGCCATCTGCATATCCAGGTTGTTAAAGAGTCTTCCTCCAATCCTGATGCTATGTTCTTTCTTGTATAGCCCAGCTTCTTGGGTTATTTCCTCAGTATGTAGATTGAATAAGTATGATGGAAGGATACAACCTTGATGCACACCTTTCCTGATTTTAAACCATGCAGTATTCCTTTGTTCTGTTTGAACGACTGCCTCTTAGTCTATGTATTGATTCTGCATGAGCACAATTAAGTATTCTGGAATCCCTACTTGTCACAATGTTATCCATAACTTGTCATAACTGACACAGTTGAATGCCTTTGCATAGTCAATAAAACACAGATAAACATCTTTCTGGTATTCTTTACTTTCAGCCAAGATCCATCTGATATCAGCAATGATATCCCTCATTTCATATCCTTTTCTGAATCCAGGTTGAATTTCTGGAAGTTCCCTGTCAATATACTGTTGCAACTCGAAGCTTCCAGACTCTGTGTTTTTCTCCTAGAGCAAAGAGAAGAGTGAGTGTAGCTAGGCTAGAAGTCAACCCAGGCCCTTTAAAAGTTCTGTTCCTCCCAGTGGTGAGGTGGGGGGATTCAAACCACTGTGGTGGCCCATTAAGTGGCCTCTGATCTTGACCTGTTGCCAAAGAATCTCCATCCATACAATCAGAATGCTCCCTGTTTAAGCTCTGGCTTTTCCTGGGCTTGTGTCTGCAGGAAGGAGATGACCCCTTTGAAGCCATTCTGAAAACCCCTTCTTTCATGCTTCTGGGAATCCAGGTGACTATTCTGATAAATACATTTGAAAGAAGAGAGCATTTTCTTCCCTCCTGATGACCCCTTCCCTGTGTCTTTCTGCACTCTTGGGAGAATTTCCTACCCTATGAGCTCAGACCCACATTTTATTGATGCTGCAAAAGCATTTGACTATGTAGATCATAGCAAATTATGGGTAACATTGTGAAGAATAGGAATTCCAGAACACTTAGTTGTGCTCATGAGGAACCTGTACATAGACCAAGAGGCAGTCATTCAAATAGAACAAGGGGATACTGTATGGTTTAAAACAGGAAATATGTGCATCAGGGTTGTATCCTTTCACCATAACTTATTCAATCAGTATGCCAAGCAAACAATTTAAGAAGCTGGACTATATGAAGAAGAATGTGGTATCAGGATTGGAGGAAG